TGCGAAAAATGCAATTTGTATGATATTTTTCTTATGAAATGATATTAAAATGCGAAATTTGTGGTATATTATAAATGTGATCAAAGTAGTTGAAATTATGTCATCTTATTAATTATGATTTATTTTTATTAATTTTTATTTGTGAAAATATGATTTAGCAACATTTGACGGTTATGAATGGCATGGAAGAAGATTAGAAGTTAGAGAGGTATGTAATTTAATTGTTCCTTTTTACTATGTTGTAAACATCTATTCTGACTTTTTGATCAGGATCGTAGTGCAATGGACTTTCCTCCACCTCCTCCAAGAACTGAGGGAGCAAATACTATAAATCAGTCGGAGGCATTATATCCATTTTCTTTACATATAAGTGGATGTATGATGATTCAAAGTTTATGTTAATATTTATTAAATTGATTTCATAAAGCTAGAAAATGAGAAAATTAGTGTGTCAAATGGTCGATCAGCATCTGTAACTTCAAATGAGATCAATGGAACCACGTCATCAACACAAACGTCGTCTTCTCCAGTAGATTATCCTAATGAAAATATTACTTTGAATGGTATATCTAATAATATTAATAACGGTACCACGTATACTGACGAATCTACGATCAACAATACGACTACTGGAACAAATGGGTTGAATAATTCAAACACGAATTTACAAAGGCAACAACTTTTTGTTGGCAACGTATGTATTATGTCTTTTTTTTTCGCTAAAATCACAAATTATAAAGTCGATACATATTTTCATACTAACATTTTGAATCATTTATTAGTTACCGTTTCGTGTACGATGGCAAGATTTGAAGGACCTATTTCGAAAGGCGGGGACAGTGTTACGTGCAGATGTGGCAATGGGTTATGACAATCGATCTAAAGGCCATGGAACAGTTTTATTCGGAAGTTTGGAAGACGCAAAAAATGCAATCGGTAATTAAAATTAGAATTGCTATACTAAATATTATCCGAGATGTACTAATCTTTTTAAATTGTTTACGTAGCAATATTTAATCATTACAATTGGCAAGGCCGTAGCCTTGAAGTACGTGAAGACCGAGGCTTTGTAGATTCAAGCAACGTCAATAATCAGAATAATAATAATAACCCAAACCTTCAGCAAGCTTCTCAGGAGACTCGCCGGACTGTTGATCCAGTACCAACACATAACCATACACAAGCTCCTTATGTACCAAATGCACCGATGGTTTGTCCGGCAGGAATTTTCTTTGTAAGTACAAACTTGACTCTTAAGTGTATTATTCTTTTTATTCATTAGGATATTTTACAGCCTACTAGAGGAATCCAAGTACCGCAACAAAACTTTGCTGGGAGATTACTTTTTGTCGGCAATGTAAGTTCAAAGCTTTTTTTAATGTTATTTTCACATAAATATATTGTTATAACCTTAATTTAAAAACTTTATAGTTGCCTTTTAATTGTCAATGGCAAGATTTAAAAGATCTCTTTCGAAACGCTGGGAATATTATTCGGGCTGATGTTTCAACAAATTATGATGGGCGAAGTCGAGGTTTTGGAACTGTGTTGTTTGCAACACCTGAGGATGCTAGAAATGCTGTTGGTGAATATATGTATAATTTTATTTTTATTTTTTTAATACGTAAACTGATTTATTTTACGATCATATTGATAGGAATGTACAATGGTTATGAATTTCAAGGAAGAACGTTACGCGTTCATTTTGATAAATTTTCATTACCTCCCTTGCCACCTCATCATCATCATAATCCACATCCTCATCCAGTGCATTTACCACCTCCTGTACACCCACACCATCGACCACCGCCACCTTTGATACCAAGCATTGCACATCATAATTATCATATGGGTCTCCCACCACCAATTCCACATCCGCT